TGGAGGGGGGGGGGGGGGGGGGGGCTAGGTGCAGCTGTAATTGACGGATGCATTATTGCCAGGAAAGTTCTTACTTGAGAGTAAATATGGCATTGCTACTCACGTTGAGACTGGTTTTGTTACGCATAAGCATAATTACAATAAACATGAACAGTGGTGTATACTTTGACTACAGAGGTTTTTCATTAGATTTTGTGAGTCGGAGTAAGAGTCTCTAACAGTCAGCACGTTACTACGCATGTTTATGGCATGAACCCCCCCAAAGGATGAAAATTGATATTCGTGCACGTTTTCTCTACCACATCAATTAAAATAACTTCAGTACAATGGCGATCTATGGTTCTCCATTAGCCCCGACATTAAAACAACCTGCATCCTATTTTTATTTTGTAAATTTAGAATGTGACAAGTCCAACAAATTAAACCTTACAACAAAAGCGTCTTTGAAAGGATTATGCATTAACATCGGTGAAAATCTTCTTATATAGAAATATTACCGCCTTATGACTAGGGTTATTTCATCATGATGTGGCATATTTTTTATGCGAGGAAATTAAAGTCAACTGTTAAATATTGAGTGTTGCCTTACAATCAAGCGCCTCTTAAGGAACGGCTTATGGGCAGAACCCATCAACTGTTTAAGTTAATTTAACTATTTTCACTCGATCGCCTAACAAAGCAGATGACATTGAGGTTACTCAAAAGCGACTATTGAAATATTAAAACTGTGAAAGGTTTGAACCAGGAGTAATTTCAAAAGTAGGTTGAGTTCGATCGTCCGGGTGAACGTAGTCCTGAATAGGACTGTTGTTGTTGACAGTGACTGACGTTTCGACAACCTGTGCGGTAGTAACACCAAGCATGGCAAATTTTATTGCAAATTTAAATTTCTTCCAATTATAATCCTTAATTATAATCCTTCTTTACGGTGGCAAGTGAAATGATAAAGAGACATGAATAATACCAGCGCAGTTTACAGTCCAGACCAAACACGCTGCTCCTCTAGTGTGTCCGAAACAGTAACGGTTGTTCTTTCAACGGTCAGTTTGCTGGCGTTAATGGGGAATTCTCTTGTCATCCTAACATTTATTAAGTCTGTCAGCCTTAAAAACAGTTCTAACTACTACATCGTTAACATGGCGACTTCTGATCTGGTTTGTGTTCTCCTTAACTGGCCGCTCTATGCTACTGAAGGGATGTTAAAACCTGGCGGAAGTCTAATTACAAACTCAGCTTTCGCTACAATTTGCTGCAAAATGGGAATTTATTCACGATCAGTGTCGTATGTGGTTTCCATTCTAAGCTTAATGCTCGTCGCTGTGGACAGATTTATTGTAACCGCGTTTCCACTAAAGGCTTTAAACATATCTCAAAAGCCTCGCATATTCTTTCTGCTTATAAGTTGGCTGTTCCCAGCGATTTCCCTTGTACCGTACCTGTTCTATACGAAAATCGTTGAAATAGAGAACCAAACGTGTTGTAGAAACCTGACGAGTGGCTATTTGCTGAGGATATATTACGCCGTGGGTTTTGTCTTATTCTACTGTGCTCCGCTTATTTCAATTCTCATCTTGTATCCTCGTATCATGAAGCACTTACGGATATCTAGAGTAAAGGTTGACAACGGAGGAGGGAGAACTGCTCTTGCTTCAAAAAGACTGAAACAAAGCCGAAACATCATGAAAATCTTTGGATCAATCGTTCTGACATTTTTTATTTGCTGGACACCATATTATGTTTATTTGTTCCTGAAATCCTTTTATCCTTCGATATTTCTGAAGGATAAATGTCTCTTTCTTGTTGGTTTATTTTATTATTTATTTCCGATTCTTAGTACAGTAACAAACACCTTTATTCTTATGCTTTTTAGTAAAAGCTATCGTGAGGCCATAAAAAGCTTATGTATATCTTCCTGTTTGCTTCCAAAACGCCCTTCTCGGCGTATCGCTCCTATAACAGTTTCACAGCAGGCCCGAACTTTAAGGCCACGAACACACGTATCCGGATATCGTTGAAAATGGAGATTTTTTTCTCCTTTTTCAAAAACATACGCATCTTCAAGTAGCGTTATCAAGTAGTTTCTGTTGATCCACACGAAAACGCTAAAGCGATGCAAATACGACACGTTGTCCTGTACAGAGCGTGCGCTCTATGATGTATGACATCATCGTAATTAAAAACCTCCGTTTCCGTCCATCCACACAAAAACGATAATCCGGCGTCTGCAAAAATCTTCACTTTAAGATTCTTCTTCAAAAATCTGCGTTTTTTGTGCCCGAAAACGCCGTTTACGGGTGGATGGAAGACTAAAACAGAGGAAAATCTCCGTTTTCGAAAATGATCCGGATACATGTTAACCTTGAACTTTGAAAATCTACGGAACTTAAGTTGTCCTTATGAGTGGAAAAAGATGTCACTTCCTTAAATGGGCTAAGACTCTCTGCGCGTGGTCACGTGGAAATCAACATGAATCAGAACTACTTCGTGAGGAGAATAATAATGATGAATTCTCTTTTTAAAGATTAAAAAGCCTACTAAGGAAATAATATCCCAGATTCTTTTCTGGCTTGCAATAGGCTATGCCATGAGCCTTACGGCACGCGCAAAATAAAATTTCTGAAACAGGCCCCTGGTGCGCCAGTCATAAGTTTGTGTTTATAAATTAAATGAAAAGTTTACCGATTCAATAGAACGCGTGGAGAAACAATAAAACAAGTTTTGTTTAATGCTTTCTGTATTGCAGTTAATGTCGCAAACCAAAAGTTTCACAAACTTCCCGTCAAGACATTTAACTGCCATTCGTCACGTATCTTTATATAAACCTGCGACAACTAATCTTAGCAAACGTTGTCAAATAAATTCCCTGGTTAGTTGTATCTACATTTATTCAGTAAAAAGGTCGGGTAGTATTCTATTGTAAATCCAGTATTCCAGTCGGCCGATGACTATGTCCACCTGTGAAACTGCACCTCAGAGACCTCAGACAGCGAGTAGACAGAAGACGATGGAGGTTTATGCCAATGATAAAAACTTAAAAGAAGTCAGCCGAAAATGCTATTATATATTTGAAATCTGGGCTTCGATATCTTGTTAATCTTTGTCCCCTATTATTTAAATAAAAACGCATTCAAAACGTTTTTATGATAAGTGGAGAAGGAGGAAAAACCAGCTAGTTACATATTTTTTAAAATCTGCATGATATGATCCACCTTGTACAGAAAAGATGTTAATTAGTTCGATGGAAAGCAGGCAACTTGACCTTTATGAAAGTTTTTGTTCTACTTATTTCTTGGAGCTTACTAAATTTTCCAACCTCTAGGTGCGGCCCTTATGTAAAACTTCGTATTTACGAATAACACATCAGATTACTTCAACTTATTTTGACTGTTTGTTTACTTTGTGTTAGTAACCTAAAAAGAATTCAATAAAACATTGTTTTTAAAATTTTACGGCACCATGACAATGACACCAATAAATCATCAGCCACAATATTTCAAAATAAATAAAAAAAAAGTCAAATCATCTCAGTCACGTTAGCGTCTAGGCCTTTTGTCACAAATAACAATGTCGGTCCATTAAAACATTTCCCTTCTAGAGTAAATTAGTTGTCGCCACGGTGAAATGACATTAATAGCCCACCTCCCCCCCTCCCACCACCACCACCACCACCACCACTACCACCAAGGTGATAGTAGGCACCATTGTAAGTCGTATTTGGAGAATAAACAACCGGACTTTCTCAAACAGCTTACGTCAAAAGTTGTATTAATAATCACGAATAACTCGGAAATGATTTAAGATTACTAATTGCTTCTCCTTTTATCTTTGGTTATTTTTCTGTTAATTTGGTATTGTTTCCCTGTTTTCAGCGACCTCAGAGACAACAGACTCTTTCAGTTATCTGGCACTGTTTTCAAGGGGTTAGAAGAGTTGAAAACTCTGTAAGTTGTATAAGTTCATGTTCAGCTTCAAGCGTAACAGTGAAATTTATATTTTCCGGTGAACCTGGGACGGGAGACTTTGTAGCATGAATTATAAGGAAACTTGAAGACATCTCTTGAGTGTATTTACTTTTTCTTTTGCCACTAGGCTTTAGGAAAATGTTGTTAACACGCTAGCTACTGCCATTTTTGTCAATGATCTCATATTGCGTGTCTGTGACTCACCGTGTGACGCATGATTATAGCTCTGCTCTGCTTGGATATTACTAGAAAGCATGAAAAATATTCCGGTAAAGCTGTTTCTACAAATAAATTAAAACTCCAAGGGCTTATACGAGAGGCTCCTAGTAATCGGCTTTTGAATAAGGCGAATAAAGTAAATGAGGAAGAACGTTTTCCAGAATCCACACTGAAGGAAGGGTTGGAGATAGACAAAAACAAAGTCACTGTGCGTAAAATTCCACCATGTTCTGGTCAGTGTTTTAAAAAAGCTTCATAAAAATATATGACAGCTTAGGCAGCGCTCATATGATGGACTAAAATGAACTGGTGACTCTTTAGACTAGATACTACACTGTATACTCCATAACTAAGTTATCGAGTACCATTCAGCACCTACAGTTGTAGTCTCCCATTATTTAGTTGAGCCATTTTTTTTTTAGTGTAGAGTGCTCTCAAGAAATGGAATCTCCAACTTACAGGAATCCACCTTTGCTGATTTAAGAAACCTACAAACTCTGTAAGTTGTACGATAAGTTGATTTTTTTTTTTTACCATTTTTTATGTTTGTATAATTCATTTCTAACTGATGATCCAGCACGCATTTTATGTTCGGCTAAGCAAAGCCTGGTTAAAGCTCCAGTGAGAAAAATGGCAGTAATAATTTCTGCTTTACTGCTCTCCTGCTATGACGCTCTTTATCACAACTTGCCTAATGATGCAACATATAAATAGAGGATACTACACGGTGGCGCGAAGATATGAATTTTATTTTCGAGTGGCAAAACAATATTTTACGAACGAGGGCAGCGAGTTAGTTAAATATTGTTTTTGCCACGAGAAAATACAATTCACATCTTCAAGCCGCCATGTAATGTTCTTTTTATTATATAGACAAAAAGACATCGATAAGATAATAGAGGGAAATTACCGAAATTACGTCATCGATAAACTCATGTGTGAGATTATGGAAAATAAACCACCCGGGTCCCGGATGAAGTTTTTATGAATTTCACGAGTGCTCTATTTTCCAGTAAAAGACTCGTGTCTATATAATAATTCGGTATAATTTTTAACAATACTTTCAATCAGAGTGTCAAAGTTTTAGAAATTGGAATCGTGCTTTGATTGGAACCTTTTGTTAACAAACAAGAGGCAAAGGAAAGAATAGAATGATGTTTCTAAAAGTATCTGAATTAGTTCAGATACTGGTGGACAAGGAAAGTCATATAGAGTCAAGAGCAAAAACAGGTCTGCGCGCATTAGTTACGTTGCTGCACTGCGGTTGGGGAGGCACACAAAACTAAGCCTAATGAGCCCCGAGAGGCAGGATCAAGTTGGTGCCTATAGCTGAAGAATCAGAAGGAATTACCTTGATCAAATTTCGTATTACTCTTCCATCATTGTGTTTTAGTAACTTTCAAAGTAACAAGCTCTTGAAGCTACAACAACCCATCTTCAAGGACTTAAAAAACCTAAAAAGACTGTAAGTATGGACTGGATAATATTTGTTACAGTGAAACCTCAATTTAACGAACCGCTATTTAACGCAGTCGTCGGTATAACGAACGATTTTCTTTACCCCAATAATGAATGAATACTTTGTTCTTGCAGCTTTCACACAAACGAAAGGAAAGTCAATTTTTCTTGCGGCGATATCTATGTTGCTTTCTGTTAAGGGGCAATTAAAGTCACCAAGATGTAGTGTTACATTTAAATACATTGGCTTTGTTGGTATCATGGAAAATCACCTTAGCTATTCATTCAATTTGTAGGGACCTCTCATATAATCAAATCTCTGAGTTACCGAGGAACATTTTTGCTGACTTAAAAGGCCTGGAACATCTGTACGATGTAATTCTTTTGTTTTTTCCTTACATTGGCTTGTCTTTTCTCAAAATCTAAATCAGATTATTTTTATTTTCTTTAGCTAGGATTGGACTAATAATTTAACTTTAAATAACCCCCCGGTTCAGGTTACCATTATCATCTACAGAGTCACTAAGATGTTTAAATTTGTGTAGAACTGATAGCCAGGGTTATCCCTGGATAAATAAAGAACTCTAGTTCAACTTCACGGCTGTACCGGCACTGGAATGAATACTATAAAACAGGCAGCTCTATGTTTCCGTTGAGTTTTCAAATTTTGGAAACACTTCGTTTTGTCCCTTGTTCATAATCGATTCTTACTGTTATAACGTGTTGTTTAGAGACCTTTCTCACAACCGGATAACAATGCCTCATTCAGAAGTTTTCAGAGAATTGGAGAGTCTCAAATACTTGTAAGTTTCAATTTGATATTTGTTTTTATCGTATACTAAAACAGTAGTGTTTTTCGCGCACTCTGATTGGCTACTCAAAGGTAGGATAGCCAGTGCAGTTCACTGATTCACCTCCAGCTCCTCTGAGCGAGCGACGCGAATGCAAACTCGCGTAAGTTACCACCAAAATGGTTTCCCGGTTTGCTGCTCTAACAAACAAAGAAGTATCACAAATAATCATCACAAGCTGTTCCCAGAATACACAACGAAGATGTCTAAATTCGGTTTGGAAGCTTCAACAGGTAAACGTTTGCCTGTTTGACTTGAATTTGTCACCAAGAAAACGCGACGGCCGTTCGATCATTTGCGCGCCAAAATTGTCTGAATTGTTGGCAACATTAAGTGAGTAAAAAACTATCTTTTTTGTGCTCAATTATCTCAATGTTTTAGAGTATACTAAAACAATTATTCACCTCAGTGTCGGTGGCTAGTGGTGTGTATATACCTTGCCGCTTATCGGCTCGCAAATCACACCACTATCCACCACCACCTCAGTAAATAATTGTTATTTATTTCAATGATACGTTTTTTTTCGCTTTAACAAAGGTGCATGTTACAATTACCACAAAGTTAAACAACAAGCCTCGAACATACATTAAAATACACTATCACGTACATACGCAGAAGTTATGACTAGAATAACCAGTGCAGTTTTTCGCGGTAAGGAAGCGCAGTCACTCAGGGTAAAATGAAATAAAAAAAAACCCTTGCATGGAAATGTTTTAATCTCAGCCGTCACTGATAACTCGCAGGGTGTCAACTAATATACCTACATTTTTAATGCATGGGCGGATTCAGGATTTGGCTGAGGGGGGGGGGGGGCATTTTTCTGTTAGATTTCGTATAATTTTTAGATAATTCTTAGTAATTTAAGCAGTATCCGTACAGCTGTCAAATTCCCCTGCCCCCGCCCCCCGCCGCATTTTTGAATTGCAATTAGCCTACCAGTATCGTAGCTTCAAGCGCTGAATGTGTTGGTTAGTGTTTGTAATATCCAAACAGAACATGCAATTCCTTAATACGCACCGACAAGGTGATAGCACTCAGAACGCCAGACATTTAACTGCCATTCGTCACGTATCTTTATATAAACCTGCGACAACTAATCTTAGCAAACGTTGTCAAATAAATTCCCTGGTTAGTTGTATCTACATTTATTCAGTAAAAAGGTCGGGTAGTATTCTATTGTAAATCCAGTATTCCAGTCGGCCGATGACTATGTCCACCTGTGAAACTGCACCTCAGAGACCTCAGACAGCGAGTAGACAGAAGACGATGGAGGTTTATGCCAATGATAAAAACTTAAAAGAAGTCAGCCGAAAATGCTATTATATATTTGAAATCTGGGCTTCGATATCTTGTTAATCTTTGTCCCCTATTATTTAAATAAAAACGCATTCAAAACGTTTTTATGATAAGTGGAGAAGGAGGAAAAACCAGCTAGTTACATATTTTTTAAAATCTGCATGATATGATCCACCTTGTACAGAAAAGATGTTAATTAGTTCGATGGAAAGCAGGCAACTTGACCTTTATGAAAGTTTTTGTTCTACTTATTTCTTGGAGCTTACTAAATTTTCCAACCTCTAGGTGCGGCCCTTATGTAAAACTTTGTATTTACGAATAACACATCAGATTACTTCAACTTATTTTGACTGTTTGTTTACTTTGTGTTAGTAACCTAAAAAGAATTCAATAAAACATTGTTTTTAAAATTTTACGGCACCATGACAATGACACCAATAAATCATCAGCCACAATATTTCAAAATAAATAAAAAAAAAGTCAAATCATCTCAGTCACGTTAGCGTCTAGGCCTTTTGTCACAAATAACAATGTCGGTCCATTAAAACATTTCCCTTCTAGAGTAAATTAGTTGTCGCCACGGTGAAATGACATTAATAGCCCACCTCCCCCCCTCCCACCACCACCACCACCACCACCACTACCACCAAGGTGATAGTAGGCACCATTGTAAGTCGTATTTGGAGAATAAACAACCGGACTTTCTCAAACAGCTTACGTCAAAAGTTGTATTAATAATCACGAATAACTCGGAAATGATTTAAGATTACTAATTGCTTCTCCTTTTATCTTTGGTTATTTTTCTGTTAATTTGGTATTGTTTCCCTGTTTTCAGCGACCTCAGAGACAACAGACTCTTTCAGTTATCTGGCACTGTTTTCAAGGGGTTAGAAGAGTTGAAAACTCTGTAAGTTGTATAAGTTCATGTTCAGCTTCAAGCGTAACAGTGAAATTTATATTTTCCGGTGAACCTGGGACGGGAGACTTTGTAGCATGAATTATAAGGAAACTTGAAGACATCTCTTGAGTGTATTTACTTTTTCTTTTGCCACTAGGCTTTAGGAAAATGTTGTTAACACGCTAGCTACTGCCATTTTTGTCAATGATCTCATATTGCGTGTCTGTGACTCACCGTGTGACGCATGATTATAGCTCTGCTCTGCTTGGATATTACTAGAAAGCATGAAAAATATTCCGGTAAAGCTGTTTCTACAAATAAATTAAAACTCCAAGGGCTTATACGAGAGGCTCCTAGTAATCGGCTTTTGAATAAGGCGAATAAAGTAAATGAGGAAGAACGTTTTCCAGAATCCACACTGAAGGAAGGGTTGGAGATAGACAAAAACAAAGTCACTGTGCGTAAAATTCCACCATGTTCTGGTCAGTGTTTTAAAAAAGCTTCATAAAAATATATGACAGCTTAGGCAGCGCTCATATGATGGACTAAAATGAACTGGTGACTCTTTAGACTAGATACTACACTGTATACTCCATAACTAAGTTATCGAGTACCATTCAGCACCTACAGTTGTAGTCTCCCATTATTTAGTTGAGCCATTTTTTTTTTAGTGTAGAGTGCTCTCAAGAAATGGAATCTCCAACTTACAGGAATCCACCTTTGCTGATTTAAGAAACCTACAAACTCTGTAAGTTGTACGATAAGTTGATTTTTTTTTTTTACCATTTTTTATGTTTGTATAATTCATTTCTAACTGATGATCCAGCACGCATTTTATGTTCGGCTAAGCAAAGCCTGGTTAAAGCTCCAGTGAGAAAAATGGCAGTAATAATTTCTGCTTTACTGCTCTCCTGCTATGACGCTCTTTATCACAACTTGCCTAATGATGCAACATATAAATAGAGGATACTACACGGTGGCGCGAAGATATGAATTTTATTTTCGAGTGGCAAAACAATATTTTACGAACGAGGGCAGCGAGTTAGTTAAATATTGTTTTTGCCACGAGAAAATACAATTCACATCTTCAAGCCGCCATGTAATGTTCTTTTTATTATATAGACAAAAAGACATCGATAAGATAATAGAGGGAAATTACCGAAATTACGTCATCGATAAACTCATGTGTGAGATTATGGAAAATAAACCACCCGGGTCCCGGATGAAGTTTTTATGAATTTCACGAGTGCTCTATTTTCCAGTAAAAGACTCGTGTCTATATAATAATTCGGTATAATTTTTAACAATACTTTCAATCAGAGTGTCAAAGTTTTAGAAATTGGAATCGTGCTTTGATTGGAACCTTTTGTTAACAAACAAGAGGCAAAGGAAAGAATAGAATGATGTTTCTAAAAGTATCTGAATTAGTTCAGATACTGGTGGACAAGGAAAGTCATATAGAGTCAAGAGCAAAAACAGGTCTGCGCGCATTAGTTACGTTGCTGCACTGCGGTTGGGGAGGCACACAAAACTAAGCCTAATGAGCCCCGAGAGGCAGGATCAAGTTGGTGCCTATAGCTGAAGAATCAGAAGGAATTACCTTGATCAAATTTCGTATTACTCTTCCATCATTGTGTTTTAGTAACTTTCAAAGTAACAAGCTCTTGAAGCTACAACAACCCATCTTCAAGGACTTAAAAAACCTAAAAAGACTGTAAGTATGGACTGGATAATATTTGTTACAGTGAAACCTCAATTTAACGAACCGCTATTTAACGCAGTCGTCGGTATAACGAACGATTTTCTTTACCCCAATAATGAATGAATACTTTGTTCTTGCAGCTTTCACACAAACGAAAGGAAAGTCAATTTTTCTTGCGGCGATATCTATGTTGCTTTCTGTTAAGGGGCAATTAAAGTCACCAAGATGTAGTGTTACATTTAAATACATTGGCTTTGTTGGTATCATGGAAAATCACCTTAGCTATTCATTCAATTTGTAGGGACCTCTCATATAATCAAATCTCTGAGTTACCGAGGAACATTTTTGCTGACTTAAAAGGCCTGGAACATCTGTACGATGTAATTCTTTTGTTTTTTCCTTACATTGGCTTGTCTTTTCTCAAAATCTAAATCAGATTATTTTTATTTTCTTTAGCTAGGATTGGACTAATAATTTAACTTTAAATAACCCCCCGGTTCAGGTTACCATTATCATCTACAGAGTCACTAAGATGTTTAAATTTGTGTAGAACTGATAGCCAGGGTTATCCCTGGATAAATAAAGAACTCTAGTTCAACTTCACGGCTGTACCGGCACTGGAATGAATACTATAAAACAGGCAGCTCTATGTTTCCGTTGAGTTTTCAAATTTTGGAAACACTTCGTTTTGTCCCTTGTTCATAATCGATTCTTACTGTTATAACGTGTTGTTTAGAGACCTTTCTCACAACCGGATAACAATGCCTCATTCAGAAGTTTTCAGAGAATTGGAGAGTCTCAAATACTTGTAAGTTTCAATTTGATATTTGTTTTTATCGTATACTAAAACAGTAGATAGTGTTTTTCGCGCACTCTGATTGGCTACTCAAAGGTAGGATATCCAGTGCAGTTCACTGATTCACCTCCAGCTCCTCCGAGCCAGCGACGCGAATGCAAACTCGCGTAAGTTACGACCAAAATGGTTTCCCGGTTTGCTGCCCTAACAAACAAAGAAATATCACAAATAATCATCACAAGCTGTTCCCGGAATACACAACGAAGATGACTAAATTCGGTTTGGAAGCTTCAACAGGTAAACGTTTGTCTGTTTGACTTGAATTTACCGATAAAACCGTGAAAAAGTTTTTTGTTTCATTACAAATACAAACTAGGTCTTGCGTAAAATAAATAAGCTTAAAACTACATTAAATAGTTTTTTTTACAGAATGGCCTCAAATACAAAACGAATTCATAACTTTTGAAGAGATTTCCCCACATTAGCTAAAAGAATGCCTTCAAAAGTTTTATTTGTCAGCAAGAAAACGCGACGGCCATTCGATCATTTGCGCGCCAAAATTGTCTGAATTGTTGGCAACATTAAGTGAGTAAAAAACTATCTTTTTTGTGCTCAATTATCTCAATGTTTTAGAGTTTACTAAAACAATTATTCACCTCAGTGTCGGTGGCTAGTGGTGTGTATATACCTTGCCGCTTATCGGCTCGCAAATCACACCACTAGCCACCTCCACCTCAGTAAATAATTGTTATTTATTTCAATGATACGTTTTTTTTCGCTTTAACAAAGGTGCATGTTACAATGACCTCAAAGTTAAACAACAAGCCTCGAACATACATTAAAATACACTATCACGGAGGATGTTTCCTCATGTACATACGCAAAAGTTATGACTAGAATAACCAGTGCAGTTTTTCGCGGTAAGGAAGCGCAGTCACTCGGGGTAAAATGAAATAAAAAAACCCCTTGCATGGAATATTTTAATCTCAGCCGTCACTGATAACTCGCAAGGTGTCAACTAATATACCTACATTTTTAATGCATGGGCGGATTAAGGATTTGGCTGAGGGGGGACGAAATTTTTCTGTGAGATTTCGTATAATTTTTAGATAATTCTTAGTAATTTAAGCAGTATCCGTACAGCTGTCAAATTCCCCCGCCCCCGCCCCCCGCCGCATGTTTGAATTGCAATTAGCCTACCAGTATCGTAGCTTCAAGCGCTGAATGTGTTGGTTAGTGTTTGTAATATCCAAACAGAACATGCAATTCCTTAATACGCACCGACAAGGTGATAGCACTCAGAACGCCAGCTTTTGAATTCTTTCATTATCCCTATACATTTTTTATAAGGTTTCTAAACAATAACAAGGTCAACCAGCTTCATGCTGATATATTTCATGGGCTCCAAAACCTGGAAAGATTGTAAGTACAATTTAGCTTTATGAGGCATTGACATAGAATGGAAATGTAGTAATGTAGTTTTAATACGGTAATATACAAGCTGTCTCTAAGGAACCAAGCACTAAAAAAAGTAAATCTCAACATTCGTGGGAAAAACTGCACGTTTCCCCTTTGACGCAATGTTCCCCACTAAGTACAACTTTTTGCAGGAAACAGTTTTATTGTAAATTGTCATGTGATCCCAAGGTAACCAATGAGAGTGCTTCCGTTGGGACAAAATTTCAGCAATACAAAAATAGCGTGTAATTTTAATTTTTATTAAAACGGAATTAATGGATAATGCAATTCTATGAGCCATTAAACCATGCTCTCCAAATATGTCAACTGTACCCGTTGCTTTTACAAATAAAGTTGGGAAGAATTCTCGATATTTTGTGGGCGTTTTTAATGAAACAATTATTCCACTCGCACTTGTTGGATACGAGATGGTTGTAGCCAACTCGGCGCTATGCTCCTCGTTGACCCCCTACCATCTCATTTCCAACGCCCACTAGTGGAATAATTGTTAAATAGCCTGCGTCAGTAGCAGGCGCTTCGAAGTAATATGCGAAAAAGAACGAGGCGCGCAAGGGAGACAAGTCAAGATCGTCTTCTGATAACTTATATTGCCACTCAAGTGTTGTTTTATAAGTATATATTTCTTGTAGGCATCTGCAGGGAAACTTGCTTAAAGCGCTGCCTTTAGAGGTATTCGCAGGCCTCCGGAATCTTAAGTATTTGTGAGTATTTTCTTCTACCTTGCATAAAAGATGCGTTACAGATTAAATTCCCCCGAAAATTTTGCCGAAAAAATCCGCAAAGGCGTCAGGTTGGTATGAGATCTAGCAACAATGATAAATTTCTTTTGCAACTGTTTATTATTACTATTATTATTATTATTATTATTATTATTTTACGAACTTTTTAAAGAAATAGGAATTTAGGAATACGAGATTTTATTCTTTTTTTAACTTGTTTTCTTTTTAATATCAGAGATGGACAATTCTCTTTTGTAATGACTTAATTTAAAAACTCTAGACTGCCTTCAAGAGTTATTAACCGCATCTGAGCCGCAAGGAATGTATTTGGGAAATCGTTATTGACACAGGACATTTTTTCTTTTATAGGATTTATATAATGCTTAATATTATATAGTGCTTAATTGTTACCTCAAATATTCTGTAAATTATGTACATATTTTTAAAGTTGAATAAAATTATTATTAAAATAATATTTATTATTATTATTATCAATATTTTTATTTTTTATAACTTGCAGAGTACTTTATAACGAAAAAAAACCCTTATTTTCTTCTCGTACGTCATGTTTTTGCCATATTAGTAAGCTATTTGACTATTACTACGTTTGCAAACATTTTACAGTTTTGTATTCATTCTTATTTTAGGAAGTTAGACAGCTTCTCCTTGTGCTGTTATGCTACTAGGGTTCTCAAGCACGTAGACTGCGAACCCATTGTCGGCGCAAGACTCATGTTCAAGTTGCAATCGCATGATTGAGGACTCAGGTCCTAGAAAGATAATTTGGTTGCTCGGTGTTCTTGCTGTGCTTGGTAACCTGGCTGTAATAGCCTGGCGTCTAATTAGGCGCGACGACCATCCAGTTCAAACCTGTCTTCTGACGAATCTCGCGGTGTCCGACTTTCTCATGGGAGTGTACCTTATGATTGTTGCCATTCAAGACCAAATATGGGCAGGTATGGGTTTCGAGCACCAGTGTTTCGGTGGGAGAAATACAAGTTTTTTTTTTTCTATTTTACTGACAGAGAATTTATCATAAGCTTGGCTAGTTTTATAAGTAAGAGAGTTCGAATAAAAATGATGAAACAGTACGTAACCCTTTTAACGGCTTTTAATTTCATTTAAAAATGACCTCAAAAATTGATTTGACGAGATCACACTGAATCGAGCCTTTTAAATTTGAGGTCACATTAAACTAAAGATTGCACACAGGCTCGGTACAAGACATATACCTTCCAATAGCCAGTTCGATTCCAGGCAGGTGAAAGGCATGCGCAAATATGAGCTGATGATCCGGAAAAAGGGGGCTGTCGCAGTCTTTTCCCTTTTTATTTTCGTGTTCGTTTTCCCAATTTCGCGGGCCTTACTATCCCGGAGCTTCGAACACTCAGGCTAAACTTCGACCAGGTGTCAATTTAATTAAACTGTTACTAGAATTTTGACATCAATCCTGTGACGTCATTTCCCGCCAAAAACCGTTAAAATAAAAAAAGTAAAACCAACAAAACATGCGCAATAAAAATTTGTACCATCCTGCAAAATTTCAGATCAAACGGATAAAAATTGTGAGAGAATTCTTTCCTGGTCATTTTTGATTTTTTTTTTTTCAAGAGTGCAAAGTGCAAGTTTAGCTATTTATTTCAGACTCTAAACATTTACACTGGTAAATTTTTCATTAAATTGACCCCAGCCTTAGCTACTATAATACACATCGTGACCTCGATCGAATTCTTTTAAATAATAATGTGATCTGGAAGTTATTTTCCGAGTAGAGCATACAATAGGGTGCACAGACAAGTGAGTGTTATCATAATACTGAAACAGTGCTTCATTTCCAGGTGCTTACTTTAACTTCGACCTCACTTGGCGATCAGGAACACTTTGTAAACTTGCTGGTGCTTTATCAGTGCTGTAGAGAGAAGTCTCGGTACTAATGCTGACTGTTATAACCGCTGATCGATTGATCAGCATCGTCTTTACATTCAGCTGTCGCTGACTGACGCTAAGGGGAACTTACGCTATTTGCGCAGCCGTCTGGGTCATCGGAACCATAATTGCCGTCGTTCCAACAAATGATCTCCCATATTTTTTCAACGAGGACAGACAATATGGATTTTACGGTTTATATTCGCTTTTCAAGTGAAACTCCGCCCCCTTAATTTAATTTTCCCTTACTGTCTGGCTCTTTTAATCTAACGGATTAAAACGTCTTGATCAGTCTACCGAAGTATAGTGATGTCGAGCAAAGTTCCGGTTATTTTTTAGAGAATCTTAGTAAAATGCTTGACAGAAGATTGTCATGGCAACAGAATACTACGCTCTGTGACTTTTTGGGTGAGAAACTGTCATTGCCATCTTCATCATCATTATTATCATCATTATCATCGTCATCATCATCATCATCATCATCATCATCATCATCATCGTTATTTACTTCTTGTTCTTCCTCTCTCCTTATCATAATTAGCCTGTCACATTATCTGATATTAAGGACCAACTAAAATACGAAATTCGTATTTTTTTTAAGGGCGTTCGTCAGTTTGTCTCCCTCTCTAACTGTCCTCAGAAAGGCTGGCCGGCTGGGAGTATTCAGTTGCCATATTTATCCCTTTGAATCTCATAGCTTTCCTTTTCATCATGACAGCCTACATAGCCATTATCTTTAAGGTGTTTAAGTCACAGCAGAGAATCAAGGCACATGGAGAATCAAAAACCAATAACAGCCTCAACAGAGAGTCGGCCCTCGCTCGGAGAGTGTTCGCCATCATCTTAACTGACTTCAGTTGCTGGATTCCTGTGATAATTTTGAGTATTCTTGCCCTCGTTGGGAAGTTCAATGATCCCGACGGAACGGCTTACGTTTGGTTTGCTGCGTTTGTCCTGCCGGTTAATTCATCAGTTAATCCAGTGCTCTACACGTTTTCTACACCGAAGGTAAGAGCGCAAGTGGGGAAACCTGAACGAAGGTGTAAAAATGACTACAGTTTTCGATATCTATATCCTTTAGCTCTTGAAAGGAGCTGTAGCTACAGGCCATAAAAAAAACGATCTACAATCCTGGTCATAATTTCTTGAAACACTGTCGGAAAACACATGAAAAACTAAGTTGTTCCACGAATACTTGTACATGTATCGCTTCCCTCCCCTTCCGTCAATGTTAAGGGGTTAGGAGGCGGAGAAATCAGCAAGCGTTTCAACAGTTAAGAAAAAGAGAGAGAAAGGAGCCGATTCCCTGATTGTAACTGAGTCTTCCCACCCTTTCCCTATGGAATTTTCTGGACCATTTAGAGCTAGAGTAGCACACACTTAACACAGATGTCTTAACCGGGGAACGTTACCGGGAATGGAAGTTAAATGGAAAAATTTTCGATGTCTGAAAACTGTCGGGAGTGATCGTCGGCGCCATTGGCCATCATAATTTTATTCGACCGCGAAGCCTTTTTAACGGAAACATTCTCAATATTCTAAGAAAAAGATACTTACTTTAACTGATTATCTTCTCCACCCTTGCCCATATATACATTTTTCCACTTAACGTTAAAAGAAATCCCATTGAATAATCTTAATGTGGAACGTTTGACTGCAGTGGGCGGTGACTAGTACATGGTTATACTATCTACAATTGCGCTCTTACGCACCACCCTCCTCGTCCAATATTTACCGGAATTTAGGACATAAACTAATCGATTCAATGCAGGGGGGAGGGGGTGTCTCCAAGGAAATCTTTGGCACAGTCCACCTGCCAGTATGACGTCACGTCTCGCGTCAGTAACTTTTAAAATGGCGAGCAAAGTGTTCATCGATGAGACGGATTTCCGATTTCTTGGATTTGGAGATTTTAAGGTTTCTATTGTAATAGAAAACTGGACTTAAGTACTTTCTTGGAATGAAATGACCTTGATGACCTTGCCGGTCCCGTGAAATAGATCGCGATCCAGCAACACGGCCCGCAAAACAAATTAACAAAATTATATAATCACGGACACAAAATATCAATACGGTTTACAGACGCAGATTATAGCAACACCAAAGCTCACACACATTCGATCAAATAAGCGACATGTAGCGATATTTGCTAGCCTCTGAGCTTTTCCTATACCTCGCTCGTCGAAATAACTGTCGTTTCCCTTGCTAATTTGCACAAGCGACCCGAGGTTCTTGCCCGTTACTATGTGACGTCATACTGCCAGGCGGAGTGGGTCAAGAAACTTAGTTGGAAAACAATAGAGTTACCTTCCCTCCCTCCTCCCTGATTCGATGTTAAAAATTGGCTGTTGCATATTCTGGTCAAATACCGATCACAAGGGACTCTATTTCCACTTGTATTTGTATCACCAATTTTCATTTGCTTTACAAACTGAGTCATGACTAAAGAGAGACTGCGTCCAGAATAGAATAAAATTCACAAAATGTCCTGCATGCATTTACAATTTATTTGAAATAGTTGTCATTACAGTTGAACATGCAGTCGAATAATATCAGGTTTTTTAAAACGCACGCAAACGAGGGTAAACAGATTTATAGGTCTTTTGCCTGAACCCCGTGTGAAAACCACTGACAACTGTTGTAACAGTTACTTATTTACAACAGCTTCAGCTGCTTATTTTCTAGGTTTCTAGGTAAGAAGAATGTTAAAAGGTTGGCTGAGTCGCATTTTTTATGCTGTGATCTGCAACGCCGGGTCTACAGGTGTTACAATCTCCGGTAAAGACAACCTAGGCACGTGGTTTATTGAAACAATATCGCGAATGATTTTAATAAAAAGGAACCAAAAACGTTTTGAAAGAGATCAGGTCGGGGGAGGAATGCATATGTTTTGGCGAAAAGTCTCGCGCCAATCATGCATGCATGCATGTATTCCTTACTACCAATAGTTTCATTATCGATTGACAGCTGATTATCAGTTCAGGGCTTTTGTTTAGTAATGAATCCCAATTGCAAGTGCTGTTCAATCAATCCCAGTATTCAGGGCCCGGGGGGGCGGGGGGGGGGGGTTTTTCTCTTTTGAAGCAGATTCTGCAAAAAA